TCAGCTCCGTTTGCAGTAGATTTTGTGCTTAAATGATGCTGGACAGGAGTGTCTTCAGACTTCTCATTTTGCTCCTGAAAGTTGGAATAGCCCTGATGCAGTTGTTTTCTCTCTGCCTCATGGAAAGCTGTCGGATAACATTCTTCTGATTCCAGCTCAGTGAGATCAGAATATACATACAGAGGATTCAGTCCCTTCTCAATAGCTTTATTCGAATAGTCCATAGCAGATTTCCGTAGTTCTTCCATCTTCTCTCTATTCCCATCAGCTTCAGGGTCCTCTGTGCTCTGCATTTGTTTCTCTTTTGCCCGATAGCAGCATGCAATCTGGCGATAGATGTAGGCATTGTTGGGCAAGGATTCCAACACCTTTTGAAACAGTTCAATTGCTTTGTCTAGATCACCTTTTCTTTGGTAAAACTTGGCTGCACTGCGGAGGACATCTGTTTGGCCGGGAGCTTTCTCCAGGGCCTCTTCTATCAACAGCCCCCCTTCAGCTTCTTTATTTATCTTTTGCAATTTCAGGCCCAAGAGAACTTTGACGTACTGATTGTCGGGGTTGAGCTCGATGGCCTGCTTCAGAACACTGACACAGAACTGCTTCGGTGGCTTATCATCCAGACGGTACATCGCGATTGCCAGCCCGGTGGAGAATTCTGGGTTGTTGGGTTTCTCTTCTAGAGCTTTCTCAAAATACGCCTTCACCCTTTCATTTCGCTTTGCTCCGCACTGTAGCAGGGTCCACCCTTCCTCAGAGTCAAGCTCAGGACACTCAATACTGTAAGGATTTGAAAACTTCTCACACACTTGTTTCACCTTGTCCACGTAGACTTGAGCTTCTGGGAGTCTGTCCATGTGATAGTAGACCCAGGCGTAGTTGCCCCAGGTGACCAGGCTTCGGACTTCTGCCTGGCCAGGGTACTGCTGCTGGATCAACGCTTCGGCTTGCCGCAAGCACTCCAGCGCCTCCTCGTTCTGACCATCTAGGTGTTTTATGTAGGCCAACAAGTTGTACATGGTAGCTTTGAACTCAGTGTTTAAAAATTCAATCTGGTTACACACTCTATCTTCTAGATCATGGGAGACACTTTCTTCCTTAAGTAATTTCCACGTGAAATGGCATTTCAGCTGTGGAAGGATTTTCTCCAGAGAGTTCTTGTTGACCTCACTGTGGAGAAAATAAACATGGTCACTCTGAGGTGTACCTGCCAAGCATCGCACCGTGGGTGCAATCACAGGTTAATTGTGGGTGTCAACTTGACTGGGCCATGGGATGCCCAGACTTTTAGTTAAACATCAGTTCTGGGCGTATCTGTGTTCCCAGAAGAGCCTAGAATTTGTGCCAGTGGACTGAGTACAGTGGATTGCCCTCCACAATAT